GAGAGCTGTTATGGGGTGGCATAATGGATTCCAGGGTGGGCTGCTAGCGGCACGGTCAGTAGTTTGAAATGACCAGATGCTTTGTGGGAGAACGATGTGGTTTTCTGCCCCCACAAAGACTTAGACAATCTCAGTAATCCACAGGGACCATTGTACTCTGTACTAGAGGGTTTCTATGAGTCAGAACCACCCAATGGCCATGACTTTGGGTCTTTTGAGGACATGGACAATAAATCACGCATAAATCCTGCTCATAGCGACCCAATAGAAGGTTTCTGAGACGGCCAGTCTTTCTACCCTCACCCTTCTCCAGGGGTGGGATTCAGCTGGCTTGCGCTGGTTCAGCAGAACTGAAACCGAATGTTTTGTTGAGTTTGGTGACCCAGTGGGTAAAATGGCACTTGTAATCAGAGTTCTCTAAAACTGAGTGGCTGGGCAGCGCCCAATGCAGAAATCACAACATTCCTTACCCTTTTTAAATTTCATCTGCACAACAGCACTTTTTAAGGGCCCACAAGCCAAAAACCAAACTTGCTGCCTTTGAGTCAATGCTGACTCCTAGCGAGCCCTTGTGGGTTTCTGAGACCGTAACTGTTACAGGAGTAGAAAGCCCAGTCTTTCTCTCAAGGAGCTGCTGGTGGTTTTGAACTGATGACCATGTGGGTCGCAGCCCAATGTGTAACCACTATTCCACCAGGGCTCTGCAATGTCCATTCTGTCCATAGGTATAAAAAATTAGACAGAACTATGCTTGTAATATTCATTAATGCATTTCATGAAGCTCATGATACTATTGATGAAATACTACATATTTATTCCCTTGTGTGAGTTACTTTCGTAAACATATAATGTAAAGAGCCAAAGTGTCCACCAACCAGAGGGTGTCGTCCTTTCCGCTCTGTCTTACCTCCACATTCCCAGAGGCTATTATGAGTGCATGATGCAATTCCTGAAAGCATTCAGAGAGCTGAAATATATTGTCAGAGCAATGGCTGTAAGTTCAAGCAGAAGCGGAAAGGGGTTTTCCAAAGATGAACATAGTATGTTCAGAGAAGAGAAGTTGCTCACCTGTTTCCACGCTACTCCTACAGTGCAAAGACGGCTATGGATAAATCACACGGCTGATGATGCGCCAATAAAAGTGAAGAACATTGCAAGTGAGGTCGCCAATCATGAAGCAACGTGGAAATATCTTAAATAACAGTTTTATTTTGTCAAGTATTATCTAATGTTCTTTCATTAATGTCTTAAAACTTTCTTAGAACTTAATCTAGTTTTGTGTACCTCGTTTGCTGTTCATATTTAACTATTAACTGTATGAAACAATAAACTACCTTTCAGTATACATTTTTTTATACTTAAAACGGTCATTAGGGCAGTGAACAGGTTGTTACATTATTTGAATCCCATCACTGCCTTGTTCTCTCGTGGGGGCTGATGGGTTTGAACCAGCAATTTTGTGTTTAATAGCCAAGAAGTTCTCTTGAAATAGTTTCCAAAATATGTCGCCACTAGATGGCATAAAGAGCTCACCTATTTGGAGCTGACTTAAAGGCCGCTACTCCCTAAGAGCAACTTGAAAGTAAGATTCCTTCCTAACGCCAAGGACTGTGCAGTGGGTGGGTATGAACAACTACATCCTCTAGGGTAATGGTATAACGAGCAGTGGATTTCCATAAGCATATGCCTTATTTAAATATGCAAACGAATGTCATCTCCCACAACCTACATTGGGGTCCTGTGGCATGGAGTGCATTCTGACGCTTGGTGGCCCTGTGTGACAGAGAACTGCTCGATGGGCCACTGCGGGCTACACTCCTCACGGAGGCAGGTCGCCAGCCTTTGCTCCATTGCTGCTGCTGCGTGGGTTCAGTTACCAGCTGAGCACAACTCTTTCTTTGCAACTTTTGTTCTCGATGGAGTGTGACACAAGATGAAGTCTTAGTCAGAACCTGCTCTTAAAAACCGGAAGGTGTAGATAACCATGTACAGTAAATCAATCACTCAGCTAGGAGCCATGGAACGCTCTCTCTGTGCAAAGTGCATTTTGCTAGACTTAATGCAGCAGGAACGGCAGTTCGGCACAGTGGTTGTAAAAGATGGTCTTTGAGACCAGGCAGGCTGAATTTTCATCACGTATTAGCTATGATCTCAGGCAAGCAGTGTAATTGGTGTGCTTCCTCACCTTCACAATGGGGGTGATAAGACCTAACTCACAGGGTTATTGAAATGGTTATTATTCATAAACAAAAACCCAAAAACCAAACCAACTGCCATCAAGTCAATTCTGGCTCATAGCGCCCCTAGAGGACAGAGTAGAACTGCTCCCTAGGGTTTCTGAGGCTGTAAATCTTTACAGGAGATAGCCCCTTATATCTCCCTCAGAGTGGCTAGTGGAGTCAAACTGTTGACCTTGTGGCCAGGAGGCCAACTCAAAACCCACTATACCACCAGCACGCCTATATTTGTAAGGCATATCCAATATCATCTGGAATCTACTTGTAGTGAGTGCTTTCCAAGTGTTAATCATCATGATCATTATTATCACGTGCGTCCTCAAGGTATAAATGTTTTCCGATGGTCTTAGGCGACCCCTGTGAAAGGGTCATTCGCCCGCACAGGTTGAGAACCGCTGGTGGAGACAATCATGCAGGCCCTTGAATATCCAACTAGCTAGCTTATTTGGTAGGCGAGGAGGAGTGCAGACACGGGTTTTACTCAGCAATGACCGCCCTCCCTTTCGTCCTGACAAGACCTCAATTGAAGAGGCAAGGACTCATGATCATTTCAACCCCATTGGCATGTCTCCAGGTTTCTTTTCCTGCGCAACAGCCGAGAGTCGTCTTGTGAGCGCGTTCTGGTAAGATATCGAGGCAAAGCGTTTGGGCAATTTCGGAGGGTTTTGTGTTCCTGGCTCTTTGCTGCACTCGATGAAAGAATTCACGCTGAAGCACGTTTTGTGATCCAAGTGGGTTTGGATGAAGGACACGGTTCAGGTTTTACAGTCTCAATAGGGGACACGCTGTTTCTGGGCACCAACAACCACGTGGAAAAGAGCACCCCCACGGGCGGAACTGGAGGTGGTGGTGGGCGGAATCCCAGGAAGCCAGAAGCCCAAGAACCCTAGAGGCTAAGAACATATGGGCCAAGAGGTGGTGGGCGCCCCCGCCCCCCAGTAGGCCTGCAGTGGGTGCATATGCACCTGCACAGGAGAGGGAGACCCTCACCCTCCACCTGTCACTCACCAGGAGCAGGGTGAGAAAACCTGAGCAAGGGGCCAAGAAGGCAAAGGAGCAAGAGCCTATGAGCACCTGAGCAGGCCCGGAGAGGGTCCTGAGGGGGCACACCTGTGCAGCACCTGTGCACCCCCCACCCTCCAACCCACCATAAGACCAGAGCAAGGTGCAAGAGGGCGAGGCCTTCCCACAGCCAGCAGACGTCAAACCTCTGGCCGGGCAGGTGAGGTTGACCTCTCTGGCTAAGTGAAGCCCACCTGTGTGATGTACCTAAGGTGGGTGTTTCCAAGATATTGGTTTTACCTGGGCCTAGGGGGCTTGTGTTTGTGCTTGCTCAGTTTGGGGTCTTCCCATAGATGTCTAACGGTTGCCTGATTTCTTTCCAACTTCCCCTCAAGGGGTCTTTCCAGGCATGGGAGGGACCACCCCCTGTCCCCAGATCTGGTTACCTACAATTTCTAGGTTAGGGATTCTTGCTGGTGAAAAGTAAGACATTAGGAAGCCACTCATGCTTGTTGGGTAGTCTGTTACATGTCGCCAAACACATTCTAACTGGTAGAGACAACATTTTAAGAAAATTCTCATTATAGAAAAATCTCCAAACATAAATACACAACAAAAATCTCACTAGAATACAGAGTCCTCCTGGATCATTTACATGGGCCACAACCATCATCAACACTTTTCAAATCCCTTATTTGTTCCTTGCTAATTTTCCCCCCTCAAGTATTTAACAACAACAACAAAACACTCAGATAGCAAGTCACTGCACCTGTGAAGATCTCAGGCCTATTGGTAAGAATGACTCTTGATGTAACCACAAAGCCATGATCACACCTCACAGAGTTAACAATATCCCTTAATCTGATCTCAGGCCATTCTGAAATGTCTTTATTTTGTTTGGTTTTTAGAGTGAGAGGACACAAGGGAGATGGGGAGGGAAAAAAGAGGAGCTGAGAACAAGGGCTCAAATAGAAAGTAAATGTTTAGGAAATGGTGATGGCAACATACGTAAAAATATGCTTGATACAATTGATGCATGGAATGTTATAAGAGCCCCCAATAAAATAAAATGTAAAAAAGAGTAAGAAGATGCCTCTGGCTATATTCTCAAAAGTAGTTGGTCGGGGAGAAAAGCCCGAAGAAGAAAGACCAGTTAGGAACTTCTTGTCAGAGTTGTTACTAAAAGCTGTACTTCAGACTTGGGCAGCACGAGAAGAAAGAAACACTGGGGGGGAAGCAAGAGGCTACCAATGGGCAGAGGGAGCTTCCCAGAGGGAGGCCTGGGAAGTAGGTCAGAGGCTCGCAGTCTGGTCTGAAGATACACTGCAGCCACTGCAGAGATTTTATGATAAAATGAGCAGAGAAGGGAGATGACAGGTACATCACCAGGTTTCAGTAGGATTTTTAAAGGTATGACTTGATTTATATAGAATTGATGGGTACCTGTATTATTAGGGACACAGCAGCATGGAAAACAACCCTCTACTGCCATCACCTTGATGACCTGTCACTGATCAAATGCGTGTCTGTCTTTCTGCGCGCGCACGCGCACACGAACGGAACAATGGATTGAGTCTACTTTAGGCTGCCACCTAATTGCCATAGGCATTTAGGCAAATTGCTTAACCCCTTTTTTGACTCTGTTAGCTAATCCATGAAGTGGAGAAAGTCATAGAACCTACCTCACCGGGCCGTTTTGAGGATTCAATAAATGAACACATGTAAAGCCGTCAGAACCTCGCTTGGCACATGCTAGCATGATAAAGAAAGTGCTTGTGATCATCAGTGTGTAATGCACACTGCTTTGATCCTGCATTGTACACTCAAGCAATGCACACATGTAATTTAGATTCAATGCCAGCATAAGGCGATGCAGACATTTCTGATGGTTTCTCTAAACGGTGGGAACCACCCTCATTAGCAAAGCAATGCAGATCCTTTAGCACGGTTATGCATTTGCTTTGGGATTTTGCGAGGAGGGCAGCAAATGTCTCAAGTAAATGAAAAAGCCTTGAACTTATCCATTTGAAGAATTCATTCCACAGAAAAACTGCATCTGAAGAATTTCCAGACACGGCAACGAAGCACATTACTGTCCGCTGTAATCCCCTTACCCTTCCAATACGTGGGCTGTCACTGTGCACCCCACCATCAGATTACTCAGAAACCCCATACTTCGGTTTTTATTCCTCCACCCCAGCTTACTTGTTGGCAACTTATTATTCCAGGCTACCATATCAAGTAATTATATTCCTGCTACTGGAGTATGGGGAAGTTTTGTGTTTATTTTTTTTAACTGTGTTTTTTTCCCAAACTGAGGCAAAGTTCACAAAACAACCTACATCCCCTCAAAGGGCATGTAGTCCATCGACAATGGTGTGCGACCACCACATGCCAGCAAGAACAGGCCAGGTAGCTCTGGAAATCAGAAGGAAGTATTGGGAATGCACTGGGTCTATCCTTGGTCAGGGCTTTATCTTGCCTCAGGCTGGGAAGCCCTCCTTGAGAGAGGTGGGCTGGGGATTCTTTTCTCCCTCCCGCCTTCTCTCACCCCTGGGTCCTGTCTCCAGCTCTGTCCTCTTCGTTGTACAGGGAGAAGGCAGGGTGGGTTGAGCAAGGAAAGACGCAGATGCAACCCAGCCTAGGTGCCTGGTGAGTGGGGCAGCTTTATTCTTGTCTGAACAGGCTTTCGGGAGGCTTTCTGCAGGGGGAGAAATCCCTTGACATTGGCAGTGTCTCTTCTCCAGCTGCTTGGAGCAGTGCCCTCATTCTGGTTTCCCGTGATCTCCCCTTTCTATTGAGGGCTTAGCTACTGCCGGTATGCAGACTTAGTGGGGAGAACCTAGGAGCTCCCCTAGCTAGCTCTCTCCCAGCATCCTCATCTGCTACACACACACCCACCCACCCACCCCCACAACCCCCACACACACAATGGCAGTTCACTCTCAAGATGGTTGTCTCCCTCCTAGGGGGCTCTTGTGGCTGGACAATATCAGGTCCAAGGGGAAATGATCCTTCCCTTCCCTCCCTCCCCCCTGCCCCTACCTACTCACTGTTCCGTTCTCCACAAGGACACAGGATGGAAACAACTAAAATGCTCTTTCCCTTATTTTGAAATGATGACAGAGTTGCAGGAAGTTGCAAAAATAGTACGCAGAGGTTCCATGTACCCTTCACCCTATTTCTCTTAGGAGAATATCTAATTTAACTGCAGCACAATATAACAACCAGGGAAACGGACCCACATTTTATTTGCGTTTCGCTGGTTCTACATGCCCTCATGCATGTGTGTGTGGTTCTACATACTTTGCTCATGTGTAGATTTGTAACCACCACCGCCGTCGAGAGACAGGCCTGTTCTCTCACCACAGAGACCTCCCTCATGTTACTCTTTTATAACGACACTTATTTCCTCACCCCTGCCGCACTTCCCCCGCCTCCCAACTCCTGCACATACTTAAACCTTGGATAATACCAATCTCTTCATCTCTATAATTTTGTAATTTCAAGGATGCTATACAAATGCAATATAATACCTAACATTTTGGAACAGATTGTTGCTGTTGTCCAGTGTGATTGTTGTTGATGAGTGTTGACCAGTATGATTCCCTTGAGAGACCAGTGTTGACCAGTGTGAGTCCCTTGAGAGCCCCCGAAGCGGTGGCATCTCTCAGTAGTTCATTCCTTTCTACTGCTGAGCAGTGTTCCAGGAGGGAGCCTTGAGGGTGTTGTGTAAGCATTGGGCTGATGGGTAATTGGAACCCAACAGGGTCTACGCAGGAGAAAGATGTGGCAGTGTGCTATCCATAAGGATTACGGCCTTGGAAACTATGGGGCAGTTCGACTCTGTCCTATCAGTCACTGTGAGTTGGACTTGACCCCGCAGTATAGAGTTTGGGTTAGTATTTCAGAGGTGGCTACACCATGGCTTGTTTAACCATGTACCCACTGAAGAACATTTGGGTCATTCCAATTTGTACTCTTACAAATGAATATTTGTACATGAGTATTCATGTACAGATTTTGGTGGGAACACACTTTTTATTTCTCTGGAATGAATTCAGGAGCAAGATGAGGCTGCCTGCTCTCATAAAGAGTTATCTCAGGAACTCCTAAGGAACGTTAGACCCTGTTCTGTAGGGTCACTATGATTCAGAGTCAGCTGGATGGCATTGCCGTTTTGGGGGGTGTGTGAGTGGGGGGTTCCTAGATTGTACACTAAGTG